ATACTAAATACTGTTGACATTGATGTGCCAAAAGTGATAATATTTACCAATGGTGGACAGTGTTTGGCAGACCTTCCCGATTAAAACAAGGTTGGAAGTAGGAGTGGCATCCACTTCCAAAATGGCTTGCCTCCAGAAACTATGAACAGTGCTCAGGTCTTGCATTCATAGAGTTGCTATGAGTTGTCTATAACTCGACGACACTTAACAACAACAAACAAACAACCCTGAAGCAAATTATTGTCTATGATATTGCCCTTAGGGACTTCTCCAGGGTTTAGGGCTGTTGTACACAGGGTCACTATGAGTCGCAAGTGACTCGACGGCACATAACAACAACATTATCTGTAATATCCATATACCTACAAAGAAGATATATTAAAAGAACTATTAGCCAAAACTGTGCACCAATAACTAATGCCAAATGAAGAAACCAAAGTTATTATCAGCTTCCACAGTCCAAAATTGAGCAAATATGCAATCAAGATACACAGATAATTATCAGCAATTGGAATGTAAAACCTGGAAACAAAAGAGGCTCAATAGCTGAAAAAATGGCACTGGTGATAAAAATTACTTTTGAGATCCATGACAGAATTCTTGGAAACACTCTTTCCAACAACAGATGAAATACAAACAAATCAAACTGACTTTATCAGTGGAAAGAAATGACAGAGAATGTCAAATCACCAGTTAGAACAAGGCTAGGGACAGACCATTAATTGTGTATATTTGGACTGAATTTGAAGCTGAAGAAAATGGAAACAAATCCACAAGAGACCATGTACAACCCTGAATATTGTTGTTGAAAGAGTGTTAAGTCAGCTCCAACTGACAGCTACTGTATGCACAACAGACTAAAATCCTACCTGATCTTGTGCCATCCTCACAATCTCTGCCATGCTTAAACCACTATTTAGTCAAAGTGTCATCCAGCTTATTCAGGACCTTCTCACAGGACCTCCACTTTTCCAAGTTGGATGCACTTTTCCATAGACTGGCATCTCCTGACAACATGGTCAAAATAAGTGAGAGGAACTCTCACCATCCTTGTTTCTAAGGCACACTCAGGCTGTACTTTTTCCAGGACAGATTTGTTTGTTTTTCTTTGGTGTTCACGGTATATTCCATCAGAATTTAAAGATTACCTCAAGAATAGATTTGATGCATTGAACATTATTGACCAAAGAGCAGAATAGTTGTGGCATCGTATCAGAGATATCACATATAAAGAAAGCAAAGATTATTTTAAAAAAAACAGGAAAGACATAAAAGACCAAAATAGATGTCAGAGAGACTATAATACTTGCTCTTGAATATAAAACATGAATGGAATAAAAGATGGAGTGAAAAATCTGAAAAAAAATTTTTTTTTCAAGGTCAGCTCAAAAAAGAAAAGCAAAGTATTATAATGAAATATACAAAGACCTGGGGTTTTTATAGAAAACTATAAAGCTCAGTGGTCTAATAGGAAGAACTTGCACTGTAATCTCAAATGCATGTGGTTTGAATACACCAGACGCTCCATGAGAGAACTGGCAATCTCCTCCTGTGTCAATGTTACCTCTAAAAATTCACTGGAGGGTCATCTACGGGTCATTCCAACTCAACAGCAAACAACAACAATAAAAGAGAAACATGCTTAGTATTTTGCAAGTTTTAAAAAAATGAACAAATTTAAGCCTTGAGTTGCAACAGTTCAGGATTCTAAGGACAAGTCACTAAACGATACAGATAACAGAAGATGTAAGGAATACAAAGTGGTAGCATAGTTCTTAGTGAGCTGTACTCTTACTCTAATCCAGAAGTTGTAATTCACCAGCTGGTTCCCAGAAGAAAGACTGGCAATTTTCTCCCGATTCATTTGCAATTCCATTTGCAACTGACAGCCTCATAAACTGAATGAAGGGCCACTATAAATCAGAACTAATTTGATAGCAGCCAGTTTGAGTTGACTTTTTAAGCACCAAAATGAACTGGTGGATGTTCAATTATTTCAGGACACAAGATATGACCAAGAATTGATTAAATAAAAGCAAGAGGTCCAACCCACACTCATCAACTGAGATATTTTTAAAAATGGATGCAGTATTGACAGTGTTCATCAGTCAATGGCAATAAATTTGGAAGACAGCCAACAGACTGGACAAGATCTGTATTTGTGTTTAAAAAAAGTTAATCCAACATAATGCAGAAATCTTTAAATAATATCATTAATTCACTGTCATAGAAAGAGACAGAATAAACTCACTGGATTTTTGAGGCTGTAAATTGCACAGGAGGAGAATGCCCATCTTTTCCCCTTGAAGCAGCTAGTGGATTAGAAAGATCAGAGAGACAAGGCCTTTGGATTATCAGTGCAAATCCTTACGGATTCAGCTGAAGCAGTAAATTGGTGGAAAAATACCAGAAATTCAAGCTGGATTCAGAAGTGGAATGAGATTTATTTTTTTTGGATAATGTTAGATTTGACACATCAGTGTCACAGTGTTCAGCGTCACAGCAACCACGAGTTACCTCTGTACAACAAATGGACAGACCAGTGCTATGCCACTTAGAAGAGTATTTGACCAAAAACAATTAAAACCAGGCCTGAGGGCCACAGATTAAAATCACCCACCTTGGACACGGTGATATAACTTTCTATCCAACAGACCCACAGAGTTCTATGTTGTGGCTGTTGTTAAGTGCTGTCGAGTCGTGGACGACTTATAGCGACCCTATGAACAGAAGACCTGAACAACTGTAAAACTTGCATCATTTCTCCAAGTTCATAAGGTTTTCAGAGGCAAGCTATTTTGGAAGTGGATGCCACTCCTGTTTCCAAGCTTGTTTAATTGGGAAGCTCCACCAAACACTCTTCTAAGTGGCATAGCACTGGTCTGTCCATTTGCTGTACAGAGGTTAACTCGTGGTTGCTGTTATGCTGAACACTGTGACACTGATGTGTCAAATGTGATAGTGGTTACCCATAGTGGACAGTGTTTGGTGGAGCTCCCCCATTAAAATAAGCTTAGAAGCAGAAGTGGCATCCACTTCCAAAACAGCTTGCCTCTGGAAACCCTAAGAATTTGGAGAAAACGATGAAAGTTATACAATTGTTCAGAGCTTTCGTTCACAGGGTCACTATGAGTCGTCTATGACTCAATGGCACTTAAAAACAACAACAAGAACAACATTAGATAGATCATGGCTGAGAATACCAGAAAGATAATTATCTGTGCTGTATTGACGATACAGAGGCATTCAACTATGTGGATTACAACAAATTATGGATAGCACTGTGAAGAACAGGGATTCCAGATTAATTAATTTTGCTCACAAAGAATCAATATTTAGACCAAAAGACAGATATTTGTAGCATATAAAGGGATATTGCATGGCTTAAAATTAAAAAGAGGAGCATCAAAGTTATATCCCTTCCTCACAACTATTAACAATAAGTTATATGATAAATAGATAAAACACTGAACTTGCCAAGGATATCATGTAACTTAGGTTCACATTCAATGCTTATAGAAGCAGCAGTCAAGAAATCAAATTACTTATTTGCAGTGGGTAAATCTTCTGTAAAAGAGGGTTTTTTAATTTATTTATTTAAATGTATTAAAAAGTAAAGAGGTTACTTTGTGGACTAAAGTCAGTCTGACTCAAGTGAGGACATTTTTAGCCACCTCAAACAGATAGTGAGTAAGAAGATCCAAAAAGACATAAGGTCTTTGTTATGATGGTGGCAAAGAATACAGAAAACACTATAGATTATGAGGAAATGAACAAATACGTTTGGAAGAAATATAGCCAGAGTGTTCTAAAGACAAGAAAGGCAAGATTTAATTTATTTTAGACATGTTATCAGGAAGGTACAATCTCCGGAGAAGAACATCAGCTTGGGAAAGTAGAGGTTCAGCGATAAAGAGGAAGACCCTCAAAAAGAAGAACTGACACAGTGGCCACAAAAATTGTCTCAAACTTAGCAACAACTGTGAGGATGACACAAAACTGGGCAGTGTAGCATTCTGTTGTACACAGATTGTCTGTCAGAACCAAATCAAAGGCGCCCAACAAGGATACCACTCATTTTTAGATGAACATGACATTTAATTAATACTTTTAAGTAAACTGATTCATTTACTCACCATTCCCTCACTATCCCTTGTTCTCTTTGTATCTCATCATTCACAATGCACTTGATCACTCAGTCCTCTTGATTCTCTTTTTTTTAGCAATGTAATTCTAGCTTAGTGCATTAATTTGTTCATGCATGTTTCTATTCAGTATTGTGGGGTTCTGCTCCCATTTCAAATGCAGAAATACAATGGTTGGAATCCACCAGCTGATCCATGGGAGAAAGATAGGTAATCTCCACCTGAGTGATTAACTAATCGGAAAATCCACTGGAAGGTCAGCTATGAGTCAGTTCTAACTTGAAGGTAGATAACATACATGATTCCCAAACATACAGAGCAAATTTCTCTGGATTATAGAAATTTAGGTAATCTGCTTTCGTTTTCTTTTAGGGATTAACAAATTTCTTTTAAATATTAATAAAACTCTACTATTATTTTCTCTTTTTCTCTTTAAATAACAGCTTTAATGAGTTACAATTTATTGACACAAAATAAAGCTCAGTCTATCAAAGCTATAATGCAGGGAAATTTTTTACATAGAAAGAGCAGTACAAATATTGCCATCCTCTCATTTTTAAAAATTTTCATCACTTTAAAAAGAACTTGGGATTCACTAGCAGTCATCTTAGTCTTCCTTCTTTACATTATATAAATTATTTTCATAATACTTTTTAAAAACTAACATAGGCAGTCAACAAAATAAACAATGCAATTAGAGGAAGCAGAGAAGAATTCGATTTTTTAAGTACTGTGAAAATCTTAATGATTTAAAAATGAGTGCTCTGAAACTGTGTCTAATAATTTAATTGTAAAATGCTTTCAAATACTGGTAAAAAATACAAACTTAACTATATAAAAAGTACAATATGAGACCTGGTTGGCATGCTCGGTGGCCCATTCTTCATCCAAGTTGTCCAATTTAGCTTTTCCATGTCTGAGGCTCTCATTTTGTTCCTCTTTGTGTGGTGTTCTAGTGGCAAGAATCACATAATCCTTTTGTGAAGAACACTTCAAAAGAGAATTAGAAAAGCTGTTAGAGTGATATCTGACTGAAGAACATATAGCTTTTATGGCATGAATCAATTGAGTAATATTATTAAGATCTGTACCATAAAGAGCCCTTGTGGTTTACTACACGACTGCTAACTAAAAGGTTTATGGTTGAAACACACTCAGTAGCTCTATGGGAGAAGATGAGGCAGTTTGCTTCTAGAAAGCTTTTGTAGCACAGACGTACTCTGTTACTTGAGGCTGTCAGGACAAAACTAACTCAAAAGCACCTAACAACAATATAGAAGTGTGAAACCTATAAAGAAATCATTTTTTAATTATTCTCTTACAATATTTTCCCTACATGTTAATGTTGTAATGGGTGATGATTAGCTCCTTATTCATTTGTACATCTTAAATGTGGGTCACAAAGAGAATCTTGAAAATTGTTTACTAGATGAGTAAAAGGACTATATTAAATAAGGATAATTATTTAATTATTCATATATAACTAACAATTTTCTAGTTACTAAAAGTAGTTGATAAGTAACTGAAGCAAAATTGTGTAATTCACAAAAATATTAAAAATATCAGTAAAGCAAAGCAACAAATTATCTCATGTGTCTTTAATTTAAATTATAATAGCCAATAATTATGTATTATACATAACTTCAGTGTTTATGGCTGTATGTGAGAGCTTGCACATTATACATCCACAGAATATCAAAACAATATTTGAGACATAAACTCAAAAATTCTTAAAAATAAGCAAAACAAAACAAACCCCACACAACTGAGTTGACTCTGACTCATAGTGATCCTACAGGACAGAGTAGACAGAATAGAACTGCTTGCAGGGTTTTCAAAACTGTAAATCTTAACAAAAGGAAACTGTTACATCTTTCTCTTATAGGGGGGCTGACAGATTTCACCTTTAAGCCTTTTTGTTACCTGATCTACTGTACCACCAGTTTTAATAACAATTAAAAGGTAATTAAAGGGGGGGAACCAAAGACAAATTTACAGAATATTTGAAAGTTTAGTTTCTCTAGGAGAAGTTTTACATAAAAAAAGAGGACAAACAAAGTTGAGAATGCAAGTTGACATAGTATCATCCTCATACTTCACATAATATGCCCATGATACATACCATCAAAGAATAAAAAATAAAGGAAAGGTATACAGGTGTAGCCAGTTTATGTGTGCTTCCCCCCCACCCCCCCATCCTTTATACTGCTGTTTGGTCAGTCCTCACTAATGATGAATTAACACATTCTTCCTTATTTATAAATCAGTGGATTCTTGTGCTTTTTAAAGTAATTGCTCAAATATCGGTCAATCTAGTGTTGACTGTTACGGTTTATGTAAAGGCTTACTTAAGATGGAAATAGAACTTGTAAATTTTCCCTATTTCCGTCCCTTCTTTCCCTATTAAATTGCCACTTAGTTGTGGGGTTTTTTTAAAGAAAGAAAGAAAATTAATAAGGAAGGTACAACTACTGTTGCAATAAGTCTAAATTCAAACAAAATAGTCAAAAGCCACTTTCTTAAAAAACGGGATATCCTAGAATTTATGGAGAGTGAAGGAAATAGAACTCAATTTGGAAAAATAAAACAGTTCAAATAACAAAAAATTACCATTTTGAAGTTTCATAATTACTTTTACCTTTCAAAAATAAATGTATTTGGTCTTGAGCAAAACTAGAACAGTCTTTTCATAGTCTTTTATTTTTTTCCTCAAGGATTCACTTAAACTTACTTATTCCCTAACAGATGCCCCAACATAGTCTTTATTGTTAAGTAGCAAATTATAACTTTTAGTAAACAAGTAATTTTTTAAAACAATAGTAAAAGATATATACCTGTCCTATTAAAAGACCAGAAACAAAAGCTTTTCCTTGGAGATTAATGTTTGAAAGATATTGGCCAACAGCCTCTTCTACGATGTAGGTTCTTCCCATTACGGAAAGCCAATTCAACCTCCTAAATGTCAAGAGAAAAAAAAATAAACTATTTTTAGGTAAAGATACATTTTTCCACTTTAAAAAATTACTGGAACAGTACTGTTAATAGAGATGGCAAGGGAGGGACAGTTGAGTAAAAATTAATAAATCACTAAGGTAGGTGAAGTGAAGTCCATGTGTATAACCTGCATTTGTGTCTCTTACAAAATGTATTTGCAATGAATAAGTCATTGATTCTACAAAATTCAATCATTCTATCTCCAGCCTCATTCCTGTCACCAAGCCCATGCTTTCCGACCACTGATTCCTCTTCACTATTCCCAACTTTCGCATTCC